CCACTCACCTCAGCCTCCCAAAGGCGCGGGATTACAGGCTGAGCCACCTAGCCCGGCTGCTACTAGCTTTTCAAATAGCATGTTTCCCCCCTTGACATCACAATGGTCGAAAGTAGGGCCCAGGATGAGACATCGTCAGAGCATCATAGCTCACATAACCTTCCTTCCTGTGAGCTCCCAAATATCCCACTGTGATATTACTTTGTGATTTGCTCTTACAACTAAAAAATTCTTTTTCTTTTATAGAGACAAGGGTCTCGCTGTGTTGCCTAGGCTGGTCTCAAATTTCTGGTCTTAAGTAGTCCTCCTGCCTTGGCCTCCTAAAGTGCTGGGATTACAGGCGTGAGTCACTCTGCCTGCCCTGACCTCACAATTTTTAACAAAAAGAAAGAAAAATTTTTTATTTGTATTTTATTTACCTAAAAGTATTTGAGGGAAAATGGATGACATGTCTAATGCAAGGAAGAGAAACTGAGAGTGAAAATATGTAAAATCCATGTAGAGTGCTGTGCACACACAGATAAAGATGGTGACTACAAAAGAAAAAAAAAAAGACAGATTGTAGAAATCACCTAAAACTTCGTGACTAGGAGTAATACGCAAATTAAAATGGCAAGAAAAATCAAACCACATAGAAAAAGGAAGGCAGATATTAAGGCATGAGAACTCATTCAGCGTGTGAGTTTGAGGAGTGCTTTGAGTGCCCAGTTACTCTCCTCCTCCCTCAGCTTTTGCTTCTGCTTTTTCACCTGCTGCTGCACCTTGGCCAGGTACTGCCTGCAGTCTTCTGGGCAGGCACCATCCCTGCCTCGCTGGAGCATCTGGGCATCAAGGAAGAGGTCGTTGCTATAGAAGGAGCCCTCGCACTCCCTCTCCAGCCGCTCCACCACAGCCATGAGCTCCCCCAACTGCTGCCTCTGCTCCTCCCTGGTGGCCCTGTTGTTGAAGGCGCAATACCTCCTCCCGCACTCCTGCACCAGGCTCTTCAGCCTGAGGTTGTCCGTGTTTGCTACGTAGTCATCCAAGGTCTCACCCCCTAAGTCTTCCTTGTGGGTGAAGAGGATGATCACATGTCTCATGGCCCCTGACCCAAAGACCTCCTTCACCCTCCTGATGGCCTCTGTGTCCTGGGCTGTGAAACGCCCCAGCTGGGTCACCAGGAGCAGCACGTGGGGCCCTGGGGCAGAGAGCAGGTAGCAGTCCCCGATGTCCCTGTACATCTCTTGGGTCTGGGCCTTTGGCTCAAAGATGGAGGGTGTATCGACCACCAGGACGTTCCTCCCGTTCCATGTGCCTGTCTCTCCCTGGCATGCCCTGGTCACTGACTGGGCCTCCAGCTTGGACTCAAACACTGGCTGGCAGAGGATGCTGTTCCCTGTGGCACTTTTTCCGCAGCCTGTTTTGCCCACCAGGATAATCCTCAACGAGGGTGATGTTGTAAACCAGTTATCTTCTAATCTACCTATAAAAAAAGAAGTTTTTTTGTCTTACTGAGTTAGTGATTTTTAAGTCTGTTAGGCTATGGATCCTTATGGGTAGCTCATGAATGCTATGGACCTTGTTCCCAGAAATACGGGCATACTTACATGCCTATAAGAGTGTACATACTACTTTAAGCTCTTGTGGGACTGTAGGATGCTGTCATTGGAAGCCCATGCTTGGAACCACAGTCAGGAGTCAGAACTACTTCACTAAGTAGATGTGGTAAGCACATTTTCTACATTACGGCAAATAGAGTTTTTCTGGAAAAAAAAGTGGTCCCTGTGCTCTTTCCTGTGTGGTGCTTAGGGCAGCTCCATGGGGAATTGGTTGCTAAATAAGTGTTGTGATGTCAGAAGAGGCAGGGGATGAGAAGTCACAAATGACAAAGTATGATTAACTCTCTTTCACCCACCACTTCCCAAGCACACTTGCATAGACATGCACAACACATTAATCCAAACCTTGAGATCTCACGTGGCAGAACTATAGTGACCTCCCGCCAAGGGTCTGTGCTTTCTGGATAGATAATAGAATACTTGAACTTGAGACAATGGAGGGTCACAGTTAATGTTAGAGCAATGTCTGGGAGATGACCCGAGGGCTGAGGAAGGGTAGAAAATAAGATCAATAGAAGCACGTGTGTTGAAAAGATCATCTATGTGACTTATTGAAACACAGGAAATGACAACAAAAGTGGGTTTGGAAAGGGTGACACTGAGCCAAGAGCTGAAATTTTCAAGGCACAAAGAGGGGAGAATCTGAGGATTTCTACAGTTCTCAGGACCCCAAATGAATTCTAAGTACATTTTGGGCTCCTAAAAATCTATTTCTTTCTTTGTCCTACTCTGTGTTGGCTCTTCCTCTTTTTACACGTTCTGTGGTGTTTTGTAGCAAACATGATTACCAAATCTCTATGGGGAACTTTTTTGTTTTTTCAGCAGAGAGCAGACAAGAAAAAAGAAATCATATTCACAAATTGGTTTTAGACCCTCCAACTTCTGACTCAAAGTTTCATTTCTACATTTCTTGTGTACTACGTGCAGTGGGGAGCATCACACCATGGTGTGGGAGTATGGGTGGGTGCATGTGTGCGTGTGTGATGGAGATGGTATGGTCAGGCACAAGAGGATTGAGAAGGCAAAAAATAAATGATTACTGTCTTTTTTCATCTTCAATTTAAAATGACTGGGTTTCTGCCACTGTATTTGATGTGGGGCTAAGTAGGGAGAGAACAATGGCTCTCCCTAAGGGTCTGGAGCTCTTGAGAACTTTGAGGCTTTCTTACCTTCAGCCATAGCCCCATATTTGCCCTTCTGGAATCCTTCCATTCTCTTCTGGAATAAAAACATGAAAAGAATACAAAGCAAGTGTCTAAGTGGGAGCTGATGAGGTCTGAGAATACCTCTATTCAAACACCTAAGAATAATTATCCCAAACAAGCCATTTTCATTGCTGATTTTCTGACTTGTACTTCACTCTCAAACATCTGTGAATAACTTCAAGCAAACCAGGTGAGGCTAGGATATGCTAGCACAATGTATTGTTGCTTTCCTCGCCC